TCCAGGCTGAACAACCCCAGCTCCCTCAGCCTGTCCTCGGAGCAGAGGTGCTCCATCCCCCTGATCATCCTCGTGGCCCTCCTCTGGACCCTCTCCATCAGGTCCATGTCCTTCTTCTATTGAGGGCTCCAGACCTGCACACAAGGAGAGCGGCAGCGGGTCTTCAGGAGGGTGTCACATCCTCCCAGTGGCCCCGGAGGACCAACACTTGCCCTCCCCACCAGCCAGAAGCCCCCCTTCTCCCCACAGGGCACCCACCTTGGGGCGGAAGAGCTCCATGACGGCGGTCTTGCCGTACATCCCCACCTCCTTGACGGGCCTCAGCCCCTCTGCCGTCACCACGTAGATCTCCAGGCGTGTGTTTTTGGCGATCAGCAGGTTCAAATCCTCCGCCGAGGTGAAGTGGCCTGAGAAACGGAGAGAAGGGATCACCACGGGGCCACAACGAAGCCACAAGACGGCACCTGGGGGTGTTCTCGCTGAACAACCTGCAGGAGCTTGGGGATTTTGGTATTGGTGAGGGATTAGAAAGCAGCCCTGAGGAAAGGGACTTGGGGGTGCTGGTGGAGGAGAAGCTGGACATGAGCAGGCAGTGGGCACTTGCAGCCCAGAAGGCCAATCACATCCTGGGCTGCATCAAAAGCTGCGTTGCCAGCAGGTCCAGAGAGGGGATTCTGCCACTTTACTCTGCTCTGGTGAGACCTCACCTAGAGTCTTGTGTGCAGGGCTGGAGCCCTCAATAGAAGAAGGACATGGACCTGATGGAGAGGGTCCAGAGGAGGGCCACGAGGATGATCAGGGGGATGGAGCACCTCTGCTCCGAGGACAGGCTGAGGGAGCTGGGGTTGTTCAGCCTGGAGAAGAGGAGGCTCTGGGGAGACCTAATAGCAGCCTTCCAGTACCTGAAGGGAGCCTACAGGAAGGCTGGGGAGAGCCTGTTTAGAAAGGCCTGCAGTGACAGGACGAGGGGCAATGGCTTCAAGCTGGAGGGGAACAGCTTTAGACTGGAGATGAGGAGAGGGTTCTTCACTGGGAGGGTGGTGGAGCACTGGGACAGGTTGCCCAGGGAGGTGGTTGAGGCCCCATCCCTGGAGATATTCAAGGAGAGGCTCGAGGAGGCCCTGGGCAACCTGGTCTAGTTGGGGGTGTCCCTGCTGACTGCGGGGGGGTGGGACTAGATGGCCTTTGGAGGTCCCTTCCGGCCTGGGCAATTCTATGATTCTATGATTTTGGGGAGTCTGAGCTGCACCCCCACAGCCTCACCCCGAAATCCCAACATCTTCCTCCTGCAACACCCGTCCCCTCAGCAACCACCCTCCCTGAGCTCTGACTCCCCATCTTTCCCCATTAAACCCCATTCCTGAGGGCCCTTTCCTCTACACCCCCTCTCCAAAGGACACTGCGACACCCCAAAACACCTTGCAATAAGGCAAGACACACAGACAGCCATCACCACCCCCTCTCTCCACAGCACCCCAACCCTCTGCTGCTTCATAACACCCCCAGGAACCCCACTGAGCTCTCAGAAACCTCAAACCCGTACCAGATCCCCCAGAGAAACCCCACTGCACCCTCAGTTGCCCTCAGCACCCTCAGTGCAACCCCAGTGCCCCACACCACTTCCAGGAACCTCAATGTGCCCCCAGTGCCCCACAGCATCCCCCTAAGAATCTCAACAC